TTTGCTATTTTTGTTTTCATTTTGCTTTGCCGGTCTGTTGTGTATATTTTTAGAGGTTAAATATTTTTTTTTTAAACCTGTCATAAATTTTTGTATGCCATGCTGTCAGAAATGCTACTAAGGCCGAGTTCTTCATTATTCTTTAGTCAACATTTTTTGTTTATATGTCCTGAAATAAATTTTAATTTAATTGAAAGTGCTTGAATGACGACTAAACCGGGCCGCGGAGGCTAGGTTCAAGAGCAGAGTCCTTGTAGGTTCTATTGATTACTAGGCTACATTAGAAATTTCTTTCTGTAGACAAAATAGATATTACGCCTAATTGCTGTCAACCATGAAGACGATATTAATGCAAACATAATGTTCTATAGGCAGCGCATTCCTCTCTCTTGTTTTAACCTACGGAAACAGTATTTCGGAACTAGAGTACAGTAGAACCCCTATTAAGGGGACACCTTCGGGAACAAAAAAGTGTCCCCTAATAGAGGTGTCCCCTAATAGATGTGTCCCCAGAATAGGGTACCCCTACTCAGGGGACACTAACCAAAAACGTGAGGGGTTTTTGGCATGTTTTCGTATAATGATGACATAGATTCTTTATAATTTTATTTCAATTGACCTAAGAATGAGTTACAGTTTAATTATAAGTAATTTATAACAATAATTTGCAACGCAAAAAATAAGTAATTTAAGATATGTAATTAAAACTACAAAATTTGTGTATGTTCCCGATATTGTTTCTTTATTCGAGTGTAATGTTAATGAAAAAATATTCTATTTTTAAATATTGAACTTTCTATTGGATGCAAAAAGACAGGATACTATTATTAGATGTTACCAACTTAGAAACAGAGTGGAAGCTGTCCGGATAGATTAGAATCCTATATTAAAATATACAAAACAAGAAATCTCCACGATTACTGGTCAAAATTGACGAGACTTTATTTGTACGAAGTATACATGCACTTGGGCATCCAATGCCCATTCTAAGGATGGAAAAAAAATCTGGTTTGATGATGTTTAATTCATTGCTCAAAAGGTGTCAAAATATAAGTTTGAATTATATATATATTTTAATTTTGTGACTATTGTAGTTGTTTTGATACAAACAAGTGTCCCTTTATATGGGTGAAATTGTATTGATTTGACCATTTTTGCACACTCAAAAAGTGTCCCCGTCCCCTTAATAATTGCGTCCCCTTAATAGGGGTTGGCTGTAGTGTTAAAAGATATATTGCCCCTCGTTTAATGGAATAGTGTCCCCTTAATAGGGTTGCCCCTGAATAGGGGTGTCCCAAAGTAAGTTTAACGATAAAAACACATCACATTCTTCTCTGTCTGCTTCACACAACATAAAATATTTCAAATGCCTGTACAGTACAGTATATGGTTAGCAATATAATTTAATTTGGCTTAATGTCAATTACATATAGGCCTAAGATTGGATTAGACATCAATGTCATGTTTGATTACGAAAGAATAATAATATTTCTATTCAGAAATTTCGACTGTGGGCTTTAAGATGTCAACGCATCATCAGCGTTTCCTCGTAACGGAGGTAAGATAATGCTCAAATACTGTAGTTGTCTCAAGTCGATATTATTGTACTTTTTAATACCAATTTATGTTATGTGAATCATTATAGGCCTATCAATATATAGATATTATAGAAACATAGAAACACTTAATTTAAACAATAGAATGTGAGTCCCAGCTCCTCGTTACAATCGTATTTTTAAAAAACATATTTAACATTTAATCTTGATAAAATATCTAGTAATTAGTTCGAACTAAACATTGCAATCTTGAACATAGAGAAGAAATCCATCATGATTCCTGATGATGATATAATTAATGTCGAAATAGTGAAAAAATAATCACGCAAGCGTAGGCCTAAGTAATCATAAATAGTCTGGCCAACTAATTTACTAATCATTGAATAGATAACATACAGCACATGAATTACTATAATTGTGGACATCAAAATACAATCGTTCACGAAGCGATGGCATCAATGGGAAGGAGAGGGGGGAGACTATATGTTTATCCTGGCAGGCGATTAGGTTTATGATCCCATGTGTATGATCCAATTTGGCATTGAACATACGATTCAATTAAAATTCTCAATTAAACGCAGACGATCAGATGGTTGCTCTATCATGGTTTTAATAACAACTCCATGTTCAATTAGCGACACAAACAATAGCTACACGTACTTCGTGTTTAAATTCAACCAACATGAAACACAGCTTTCAAATATACAACTATTTACATAGTATCACGTGTCACAGAGAATATATAGATAGGCCTATATAAACCTGAAGATAATAAAAACAACCAGCACAATTTAGCTTACATTGATTTATTCCTTTCTTTTCTTGGAACGTCATTGTGTTCAACAGGAAGGCAATATAACAATAGGTTGCTGACATACTGTAGGCCTATATGGCGTACACGAGATCGATATAATATGCTTATAAATTGACAGATTTTGCCTTCACCCTACCAGTGGTGGCGCCATAATTCATCGCCATAATTCATCAAATATCCGTGGCCCTGGACCCCCACCGGGGGCCCTAGGCGGCCCCCTGGCCCCCAGCCAAGTGAGACTCGATTCGCTCCACTAGCCTCCCCCCCCCGTCGGGGCCTTTAGCCCCTCCGTCGGGCGGATCTTGGCGCCACCACTACTGCACCCTACCCCCTTTTCTTAAACAGGCCTGTAGCCAGGTGGTTTTAGGACTTTTGGCAAACCCCTTTTTTCAGAGGTCCTACTTTTGCTTAGCAACGCCCTACCCAAATAACACATAGACACTAAAATATCTTTCTTTCTGAACCCAGTGGGTGGAAGTTTTTTTCCTCCTTTCAGATTAAGATTAGATTTATATTAATTCAGATTCAGATTTATTCATACAATGCATAAAAGTGGAACCAAGATAAAAATTATATAGACAAAATGAAGGTGTCTGGAGAAGCCATAATCCCAGGGCTTTAAGCCTAACTCCACCAAGGGGAAAAAATACAGTTTCTTCGAAGATCAGACAAGACAAGAACTGAACGGTACAAACACAAAGTGAACGACAAATGGTACAAGGACAAAAGGCATTAAATATATTACATACATAAATGTGTACTTTATAAAGGTAGACAAATGCAACAAATTTATGTGGAAGATGTTAAGAGAGTTGAGTTGATGGAAGAGAGATTTTAAGTGTAATTGCCAGTTGGGAAGAATACTGTCAAATGAGGATGGCCTTTTTTTTTTTTTTGGCGTTTAAACAATTTTGTTTAATTTGAATGTTTCGGTGCTAGTCAATGGACAGAGGATAATAAATGTTGAGTCAGTAACTGCCCAGAGAAGACTTCCGTACGTTTTAATTCATGTTTTCTTATTGTAATGTTTATCTGTGTTCAGTGCTTCGGAATAAATTGAAATAAAATCAGGCGATATTACAGTAATATAGATGTAGTAGAACGAGATTATAAGAGAATGTTGGATGGTAGTGTCAATTTAATTTCAAGTTATCGATGGGTACTCCAAGAAACTGAGATGATCAACTTTATTAATCTGATTGATATCAATATATATTGTTTTAATTTGTTCTTTTTAGATGATCCAATTAATATTAAGAAAAACGTATTCACACGACATTTCGCAGATTCTCTATTAGTGAACTGTAATTGTATCACAGTTCACTGGGAATGCTGATAGAGTATTAGCGAAACGTCGTGTGAGTACGTTTGTTTTAATACTTTAAAAATTAATTGAATCATCTAAAAAGCACAAATCAACCCAATATTTATTATTGCATCCAAAGGATTTTTAAAAATATACCTTTATATTTTGAATTGTCCATTTGTTGAGGTAAAGTGTGTATACTGTGTTTTATTGATGTTTAAAGAAAGTTTGTTAAGTATAAACCAATTTGAAAAATGATTAATTTCATTATTAAAGGTTTTGATTAAGATATTCAAGCCAGGGTTAGAAAGAAAAATGTTTGTGACAGGAGGAAGAATTGGAAGCATGTATATATATATATATATATATATA